GATTTCTGGAAATGTGTTAGCATTACAGTACTTGGTCATTATAGACTGACTAGAGGCCCAGTGCACAGATTTGTGCACCGATGGGGTCCCTTGCCCTGGCCTGTGGGGATCGGGCTGAAACTGGCTCTCTGACCCCCCCTGAGGGGTCCCGGATTGCAAGAGGGTGCAGGCCAGGCTGAGGGACCCCACCAGTGCATGATTGGGGCTGGGAAGGGATGTAGGGTGTGGGCCAGCCGGGGAGGGACCGTGGGAGGGCTACAGGGCATGTCCGGCCTGTTTCGCTTAGGTCCCGATCAGCCGGACCCCAGCAGCAAACTAACTTATCAGTTGGAGCATCTGCCCCCTGGTGGTCAGTGCACGTCATAGCGAGTCGTTGAGCGGCCTTAGCATATCATTAGCATATTACACTTTGATTGGTTAAATAGATGGCCAGCCGGGGAGGGACCGTGGGAGGGCTACAGGGCATGTCCGGCCTGTTTCGCTTAGGTCCCGATCAGCCGGACCCCAGCAGCAAACTAACTTATCAGTTGGAGCATCTGCCCCCTGGTGGTCAGTGCACGTCATAGCGAGTCGTTGAGCGGCCTTAGCATATCATTAGCATATTACACTTTGATTGGTTAAACAGATGACTGGACAACCGGACACTTAGCATATTAGGCTTTTATTATATAGAATGAGTGTATACAAGCCACTGTATTAGGTGCTATGGGGAGATATACAGATGAGCCAGATGCTGTGCTTGCCCTCAAGCATCTATAAGCAAGCCAGAGGGCGAGGAGGGGATATAGAAATCTGTACAAATCAAGTGTCAGCGGGTTGTGGCACGTTCCGCTGTAGAAGTACAGATACAATGCCAGGAGAGTGCTAAGGAAAGAGATTCGGCACAGCTGGGTTGAAGGCAGCCTCCTGGCGGTGTTAGCTTTGGAAGAAGTGAAGAATTGTAACAGCAGAATGGGAAGAAAGGGGCATCCAGGGGACGAAACCATGTGCGCAGAGATGTGGATGCAGCTGCGGGACGGCCAGTCGTCTGGTTTGGTTAGAGTTCCCGAGACTCGTGGGAGAGAGGTGATTTTAAGTAGGACACCAACAAGGCACGAAGTCACAGTGAGGGAGGGCTGCCCTTTCCCATCTCCTACGGGGAAGAGTCTCAGCTTGGTGCTAGCATATCTTTTAAGCACTAACACTTGCTAAATCTCCTTTTTTTCAACCCGAAATTCACAGGTTCAGAGCCATCAGAAGGCAACCCAGCTCTGGTTGGAACTTAATCACATCACTTCGTTTCCATTGTCTCTATTTTGACAGTTAAGGTCTATTTCAAGGCAAATGATGGTTTTTAATTTACAAATAAATTATTTACCTTGATTACTATGTTCCTTTACAGATACATTTATTTAAGGAAAAATAGTCCATGTAAAGGGACAATGTTGAGTTAAACATTCAGGTGACTCATGACTATGGCAAAAATCACAAAGGTGGTGCCCTAATGACTGATGTTTAGGGTACTTTGGCATAGAGTATAAAGCGTGAGAGGGTGAGAAATCGGGGGTGGGGTGGGGCGGGGAAGAGCCTGGAAAGGGGATAAGATCATGGAGCGTCTGAACACCAAGTAGGGAGTGTGGGTTTTATTCTGTCAACCACGGGGAGACGTTGGCTTGAGAACAGGCAATGAACACACTCAGAGCCTGGCCTGGCAGGGCTTGCTCTGGCCTCTGGGTGCAGAGTGACGGGGAGATCGGAGGGTGGGACAACAGTGGGGAGACCCTTGGGAGACTCAAGGTGAACAGGTAAATAGCGCCCTGAACCAGAGTCTGGGAGGAAGAGCTGGGTTCTAGAGCCGTCAGGTTGTATCATAGGATGCCGTCTGGCTGGCCTGGTGAGTAGGTTGCTTTTCCGGAGGTGACCTATCAGCGCCCAATCATCCTCTCCAGTGTGATTTACTAAGAAAATCCAATAGTCTCTGCTGGGGCTTTACTGAGTAAAGGTAACACCAGAAGAAGCCAGCCCACCCCAGCCTCGGCCCTCAGGGAGAATTGGTCGTGCACTCCGAGTAGATAGAGAAGGGGGACTCCTGTCTCCTCGGTCTGTGCTTCCTCTCGGCAAACATCTGCTGACCGCTCGACCGCTTGCGATTCATTTTATTCCAAACGATGAACATCTGATTTTCTAAGACCTTCAGCTTCATTTCACTGAACATAAGCCGTTCAAGGATCTTGTCCTGGAGGGCAAAGCAGGCGTGCAGTCTCTCGACTTCTCTCGTGCTCATGGCGTTGCAGTTGGATTCGGCTTCGGGGGTCTTTCGTTTCTCTGTCTTTTCCTGAGCTCCCGCCAGCAGGAAAAGAGGGGAGGTTGGTTAATAACGAGAACCCCCCCCTTCCCGTGCTGGGTGATTTATAACTGTCACCTTAATGGATTCTCACAGCCAGCCCGCCAGGAGAGCATCGTGTGGGTGAGAGAATGGGGGCTCGGCATCATCCAGCTTGTGGGAGAGACCCCACACCCCCAGGACCCACAGTTCCCTCTGGCTCATAGAAGAACATAAAACCTTTAACCCAAATGTATCTGTCTCCAGGGCTGTGCATTCCCCCAGGGCGCTGAGAGTTCGTCAGGCCCTGCGAAGTCTCTGCTGCCCAGTCTCAGTGTCTCAGGACACGCTCTTGTCTCTATCGTCCTCATCTGCCCCCTCACCCAGAGCAATAATACTTTAGCTGTTCTTTTTTGGATTCAACTACAAATTCCTGGTCTTTCCAACCCTTTAAAAATTAAATCTTTCAGACACACAAAAAAGTAAATATTACAGCAAATACCCACGTCTCCACACTAGTGTAAGAAGTAAAACATCACAAAGGCAAACATCACAAGAAGTGGCACCCTCTCCTAGAATGTCTCCCTCCCGCCCTGAACGCATCTCAACTGCAATCCTGAATCCAGAGTTTACTTTTTTCATGCATTTCTTCATTCCAGTGGCTCTCAACCAGAGGCCAGTGTGTCCTCCCAAGGGACCTTTGGCAATGCCTGGAGGCATTTTTTGGTTGTCACAACAGGGGTGATGGGCGCTATTGGCATCTTATGGGTAGAGGCCGGGGTTCCTGCTAAACATCTAACAATGCATAGGGCAGTCCCTCACAATGGAGAATTATCCCGCCCTAATGCCAATCATGTGGAAGTTGAAAAATCCTGCCTTAATGTACTTTCACTAAACATGTGCTTTTGGGGAGTGGGGGGTAGGAGGGAAGGGTAAGATCAACCAAGGGACTCGTATGTATATGTATAAGCATAACCAATGGACACAGACAGTAGGGGGGTGAGGGCATGTGCTGGGGAGGGTGGGAGCAGCTGGGGAGAGGTCAATGGGGGGAAAAGGAGACATATGTAATACTTTGAACAATAAAGAATTAAATTTTAAAAAAAAACGTGTGTTCATAAACAAGATAGGGTATTGTTTGGCATGTTTTTGAACCATATAAAATATGTCATAATTCATGTGCATCTCTATCTTCATTATTATATTTTAGCGATGTATCTATGTTATACATGTGTCTCTAGTTCATCCATTTTCATGTTTTCCTTTAAAGTGAGTGTTGCCGTTGCTAAAGCATGTTGACGTCAAACATGAAGTGGCAGAGTCTAGGGTGGTCCCAATTCCCTAGCCGAGGCAACTGAAATCTTGTGAAGGGTGAGCTGCAGAGCAAAGACTTAGAGGCGTGGGTGCCTCAGCCTTGCCCCATTATCCTGATATCCCCCCCCCCGTCCCCCAGACCCCAGACTACCTGTGAATATCCCATCACCTTCAACTGAAGCTAAGGCTCCTCTTGCTCACCTGCTGGGTCTCTGTGGGGGTAGGCTTGAATTCATACTTGACCAGCCAGTTGCTAAGCAATAGCAGGAGGAAGAGGAACCCGAACAAGACTGGCTTATAGCTGATCATCCAAGCCACCAATGCTCCTATGGTGCCCGAGGAATCAAGTATCTCGTGGAGAGTCCTAAAAAAAGACATAAGGTCTCCCAGCATTCTAGCTTGGTGGCACCCAGGCCCCAAGACCCAGCCTCAGTCCCCCCTCTAGGACAGTTGCCCCCATACCAGGAGTCATGGCTGCCCCTCCTCCGAGTCATGACCATCCCTCTCCCCCAGCCCCCAGTTGTTGCATAACAATAATATCAAGTACTCCTATGTCTTAAGCAGCCACTATGTGCCAGACTTTGACAGGCCATTTGCAAGCAATATCTCATAATGTCCTCATAACAGCCAGGTGATGTAGGCCTTAGCGGTACTTCATTCAATCACCAGTACTTAAGGGCCCTAGCCACTGAGAGTAAAATACCCAGTAACACAGTCCCTATCCTCATAGTGAGGGAGACTGCAAATAAAAATTATCCAGAATTTGGAAATAAGGCTAAAAGCTTACTGCAAGTTTGTTGACAGTAATACTAGAATATTATCTAACTGGCCCACCTGTTTGTCACCTGATGCTTTTGGGGAGGATAACTTTGTTTGACTTACTATTTAATATTGATTAGGGTCCCCACTCTGTAAAGTCAGATGTCAACTTTTTAAAAAATATATATTTTATTGATTTTTTACAGAGAGGAAGGGAGAGAGATAGGGAGTCAGAAACATCGATGAGAGAGAAACATCGATCAGCCGCCTCCTGCACATCCCCGACTGGGGATGTGCCTGCAACCCAGGTACATGCACTTGACCGGAATCGAACCTGGGACTCCTCAGTCCGCAGGCCGACGCTCTATCCACTGAGCCAAACCGGTTTCGGCAGATGTCAACTTTTATTGATTGGTTTTTAAAATGTGTTTTATTAGTTTTAGAGAGGAGGGGGGCAGAGAGAGAATGTGAGAAACACCTAGATCGACTGCCTCCTAAACGCACCCCCCCCTCCGGGATTGTGCCCTGACCCAGAATGGAACCAGAAACCCTTTGGTGCATGGGACAGTGCTCAACCAACCAAGCCACACCATCCAGGGCCAGATGTGAACTTTTAAAAAATGGGTAAGTTGCTCTAGCAATTCCACTTGGGCATATATATCCCAAAGAACTGAAAGCAGGGTCTTGAAGAGATACCCATGCACACCCATGTCCATAGCGGCATTATTCCCAGCAGCCAAAAAGTGGAAGCAATCCCAAAATCCACCAACAGATGAATGGATAAGCAAAATGTTGTATATGCAGACATTAGAATATTATTCAGTCTTAAAAATGAAGGAAATTTTGGTACATGCTACAACATGGATGAACTTTGAGGAGATTATGCTAAATGAAATAAGCCAGTCACAAAAAGACAAAAGCTGCTTGAGTCCAGTTATATGAGATATTTAGAGTGGTCAAAGTTATAGATACAGAAAGTAGAATGGTGGTTGGCAGGGGCTGGGGGTGGGGTGGAGGGACTGTTGGGGAGTTATTGTTTAATGGGTACAGTTTTTAAAGATGAAAAGAGATCTGGAGATTGTACAATCATGTAAATGTACTTAACACTAGTGAACTGTGCACTTAAAGATGCTTAAGCTGGTTTTATGTTATGTATATATTTTACCACAATTTAAGAAAATGAAACTAATTCATTACAGGTCTACCGCACTTTATTGTGTTTTGCTTTATTGTACTTCACAGGTGTTTTGCTTTTCACAAATTGAAGGTAGGACCCTCCACCAGCAAAAAGATTACTACTGGCTTTATTGTGATACTCGCTTTATTATGGTGGTTTGGAACCCAAACCACAAGATCTCCAAGGTATGCCTGTATTTCTGGGTAAAAAAATAGATAAGCAGCAAATGTATTTTTTTAAAAAAAACACGTATTTCTTTATTGATTTAAGAGAGGAAGGGAGAGAGAAAGAGAGATAGAAACAGCAATGACAAGAGAGAACCACCGATCGGCCGCCTCCTGCATGTTCCCCACTGGGGATTGAGCCCCCAATCCAGGCATGTGCCCCTGGCCAGAATCAAACCTGGGACTCTCCAGTCCACAGGCCAACACCCTATCCACTGAGCCAAACCAGCTAGGGCGCAAATGTATTTTTTTGTCAGGGGAGATAAATGCAAATAAGTTCTGTCTGAGAGAAAAGATAAGCCCCAAAGTTTAGTTTTATGGCATTGTAAGACATCAACGGCTTTTTCTTATTTAAAAACTAGAGGCCCGGTTGAGGAGGGGTGGGGGCGAGAGGCCACAGGACATTGGCTGTGGGAGCACAGTGACCACCAGGGGGAAGCTCTTGCATTGAGCACCTGCCCCCTGGTGGTCAGTGTGTGTCATAGCGACTGGTCGACTGGTCATAACAGTCACTTAGGCTTTTATATATATAGTTACCTTGCAATCCTTTCCTAGCATTCTGTTTTCCACTGACCAATGACTATACAGTGGGGCCTTGACTTACGAATGTCCCGACTAACGAGTTTTTTGAGATACCAGCTGTCTCTGGCGGATTTTTTGCATTGAGTTGACAGAGTAATTTGAGTTAACGAGCTCCTTAACAAGCTCCTTAACAAGCTTGGTCTCCGAACGAATTAAACTGGTAAGTCAAGGCCCCACTGTATATCAATTTTTTCATGTTCTCCTTTGAACCAGCTTTATCGTCCTGCTGTTTCTAAATAATAAATAAATGAATAAACAAACAAATATTTGACATGTGTTCACTATTTTGTAGAAACCAGTGTATGGGGGAGGGAGCGCACAAAGGGAATGGAGGTGTGAGAGAGCAAGGGCATGAACAAAGCATTGGATGCAAGAGCAATCCTGTTGGACTCAAAACTGGATTTATTAATTACTGTCCATTTTATTACCACGAAATTTGCTCTCCAAGATTTCCCCAGTACAATCAAGGATAATTATAAATAAGTGAGATTTCCCATCCCTAGGCCATATGCTCTTTGAAAGCAAGAACTATAATTAAGCCCTTGTCACCTATATTGGTTGAATCGACGAATAGGTGAATGAATAAATGAATGAATGAATGAGTGAGTGAATGAATTTATAAGTGCATCCAAATCCCTGGATGAAATGGTCGCCCTCGGAGGTGCAGTCTGGCCCAGAAGCCCTAAGGCCAGGACGGTGTCGGTGTCGGTGCCGGGCCAACTCCAAAGGCCAAGGAGACGCTCTAGGAAAACACCGCGCTCTTTGCCATGGTGCCGCTCTAGCCGCGAGGACGCGACTCTATGGCAGCGGGAGAGGGCGGGGCCGTGGGCGTCTCCGGCCTTTTTGTCCGGACGCGACGGGAGCGCGCTCCGCGCCTGCG